GCCAGGGCCGGGCTAGCAGGGGCTGCGGGTCGGGAGTGAGGGGCACCGGCAGAACAGGGGAGGGGGCACACTCCCATGCCCCCTCTTAGGTCCCGGCCCCCAGGCCAGGACTCTCCCCCATCCCCAGGCTCCTGTGGGGGGCGACCGGGGGGGGGGTGCCAGGCCGGGCTCTGGCCCCGACCTGCAGCAGCAGGAGAATCAAACCCTTGTGTGTGTCTGGCCTGTCCTGCCGCGCGGGGGGCGCAGGCGTTTGCAATCCTAGAAACCAAATTTGGGCCCAGAGAGAGACAGGACCCGAGCGAGGCCCCGACCCCCAGCCACCGGCCAGACCTGTGTCCCATCCCCATCTATCCCCTTACACCCCCCCATCCCCATACACCCCTGGGACGGGGGTAGGGGTCCCCCTGCAGGGTGGGTGGACACGGCCCAGGGGGTGTTATGCTGGGTACGTTTCCCCCCCCCCCCGGCTCTGCTGGTGCCCCTCACTCCTGACCCGCAGCCCCTGGTAGCCCAGCCCCGCCCTCCCCCAGGGGCTGATGTCCCAAGCCCTCACCAGGGCCAACCTTAGCCCCTGACTGGTGGGAGGTCGGGGGGCAGCCCTGAGCTGACCCCTTTTTGCCTGGAAAGCTGCAAGGTCCCTGGATAACCAGCCCCCCCCCCGGAGGCGGCTGCCTGTCAGCGCCGGGCGTGGGCAGGATTAGCAAACAGGACGCCCGAGGGGCCCAGTCTGCATCGCGGCCACAGGCCTGGCCGGGAACGTGACAATTTCCTGAGCAAGTCGTAAACATTTCCCCTTGCGTCAGGCTCCCAGCTGGGGGCCGTCGGGCCTGGGACGCCCCCCAGGGGCTGCACGTGCGGGGTTCCCTCGCCCAGGTGTCCAGATGCAGCCACCTCTGGGGTGGGGCGCAGCAGCCCTGAGCAGAGCCCAGCAATGGGGGGGGGCGGGGCGCGGAATCCAGCTCTGAGGGGCAGCGGGGGAGGAGATGGCGGGAGGCGGAGTCACACCCATGGGGCGGAGCTATGCAGTCTGCCATGCGCCCCCACCCACCCAAGGGGGTATAGCAGAAGGTCGGCTCCCCATTGAGGAGGTGGGTTCAGGGTCAGGAGGCGGAGCCATGTGGTGGGTGGGAGGAGTCAGATCAAATGGGCGGGGTCACTGTACACACAGGGTCCGCCCCCTGCGGCTGCCAAGCCAATGCCCAATCAAGGGCAGAAGAGAAAGCAGGACCTGCTAGTGAGAAGGCGGAGCCATGTTACACGAGGGGGCGGGGCCAAACATAGCCACACCCATTCCCACAGTATTCAGTTCACACAGGCACTGCCCCTCGACGTGTCGTCCAATGGCCTTTGACGCAGGTTGCCATGGCACCCCCTGGCCCCGCCCCTCGGTTCTGCATTAAAGCGACGGCGCGACCCATTAATCCAGCGGGGGAGGGGGAATCTCATCCTTTGTAACTCAACCCCCCCCCTGCGGATTTTCGATCGAACCAACAACAAAACGAAACCTCGTTAAATAATTCTCTTTTTCTTTTTTAAATTACAAATAATTCAAAATTTTCACCCAAAAACACCAAGGAAATTTACAAAAAACAAAAACAAAAAATTAATAATAATAATAACAAAAACTCTTAACGCGTCTCAACCCCCCATTTCCCCCCCCGCCCCGTTCCTGGGGGGGGGGTCCGTGTGTCCCGGGCGATCAGCTGCACTTGCAGGAGCTGACGATCATGTTGGAGAGCTGCTCCACCTTCGGCTTCCGCCCCACGTAGTAGACGATGGGCAGGGGCGCCAGGGCCTGGGGGACGCAGCAGGGCGCGGCCGAGGCGCTCGGGTTGTGCTGGTTGTACAAGGCCAGGACCTGCGGAGAAACAGCCCCGGTCGGTATCTGTCCGGGGACAGGTGGGGAGCGGGAGACGGGGCCTGTCCCCCCGAGGGCGCCGGATGCAGAGAGGCAGGTGCCCCCGGGGGCTGGGCTACGGCTCAGCCCCTCCCCGCCTGGCACAGGGGGCGTCTCCCCCAGGCGCCGAGCCAGCCTGGGTGGGGCTGGAGGGGGCCGAGGCGCCGGGATCCTGGGGAGGCCGATCCCACGCCGGGCTGGGGGAACGGGGCAGGGGTAGGTTGGGGGCAGCCGGCAGCTTGGGGTGAGCTAGGAGGGTCCGGCTGGCCCCAGAACCCCCAAGGTCCACACTGAGCCAATCAGCTCTGGAGTCCGGTTCCGGACCAGGCTACCCTGTGTGCCAACCCAGGCGCCCGCCCTCCCCCGCTCTAACCCCCACTCCCCTCCCCGAGCTGGGGACAGAACCCAGGAGTCCTGGTTCCCAGCCCCGCCCCCTGCTCTAACCACTAGTCCCCACTCCCCTCCCAGAGCCCAGGAGAGAACCCAGGAGTCCCAGATCCCAGGACCTCTCGCTCTAACCACTAGCCCCCCTCCCCTCCCCGAGCTGGGGACAGACCCAGGCGTCCGGGCTCCCAGCCCCCGCCCCCACCTTGCTGTACTGGGTGTCGGCGCTCCAGACGTAGGGGCAGGGGCCCATGCAGAAGTTGGCCATGTAGCCCTTGGGCTCGTGGATCCACTTCCAGTGCAGGTCCTTGCGGAAGTCGATGAAAAGGGGCCGCACGCAGCAATTCTTCTCCTCCGTCCTGCGGGCAGAGCCATCAGGGCACTGGGACCACAGCCAGCCCAGGCAGGCAGCCAGAGCCAGGGAGAACCCAGGAGTCCTGGCTCCCAGCCCCCCCCCCCGCCTCTAACCCACTAGCCCCCCACTCTCCTCCCAGAGCCAGGAGAGATCCCAGGAGTCCTGGCTCCCAGCCCCCCCCGCCCCGCTCTAACCCACTAGCCCCCCACTCTCCTCCCAGAGCCAGGAGAGATCCCAGGAGTCCTGGCCCCCAGCCCCCCCCCCCCAGCTCTAACCCACCAGCCCCCACTCTCCTCCCAGAGCCAGGAGAGAACCCAGGAGTCCTGGCCCCCAGCCCCCCCCCCCCAGCTCTAACCCACC